CAAGAAAGTAGAGCAGCTCCAGGCTTCTTCTAAACTAATTCACTCCAGAAACGTGGAAATCTACCCAAAGCAGCAACGTCCTTAGCATAAAAATAAGGAAAAGGAGCAAGGCTTGATGTCACCCTGCAGGGTAACAGCGCCCTGGGCACCTCCTGCTCTGTGCGAGGATCCGCGGCAGCGGCGTGGGCAGAGGTGACTCTGTGGAGCCTCTTCCCCAAAGAGAGGCAAAGGGCACTGAAGTTATCGGGGCGCTGAGAGGGGGGACAATCACTTACACATGACTGTAAAGAAAACATATCTACCTGCTGACTCCTCGTGTTTACTCATGGGATAAACAACAAGGAGGCGACCGGAAAAATATATAAAACACTTGAGTAGAGCGACAGATAAGCAGGCAAGTGCAGGAAAGCTGTATTGTAAAAACCTCCCCCAAATGAGGTTGAAATCAGAGGCTACATTGCTTAGACACTGCTACTTGTCTCAGTCCTTGCTCACTTTCAACCATTTTTTCTTTTTCCTAATGATTTAATTTCTGCAAATCAAATCTTAACTATCTTACATTGCACATCTCCCAATTTAAATAGGGAGACATTTAAGTCTCCTCTTGTCAACATGTATTTTTATGATTTTTCTGCAGCATTTGGAGATGTACAGGAAACCCTGAAGTTTTCAGAAGTGCGTTTATTCTACTGAAAGCAGGTAGAAGCCATCGGAGTCCATGTTAGTCCTACATCGAGACCTGAATTGGACTGATTAAAATTTTGATTTTATGGCGCAAATTCCCTTGGTTTGCTCCAGAAAAGAGTGAACTTCTTTCTTTATCTGCAAACCAGACTTATTGTCTGCTGCTCAATTCCATATCACAAATCAGTCTGACCTTCCAGCTTTGAAATTCCAAGTGCCATAGCAGGTTTGCCTTCCTAAACCACCACAGAGCAAGTAAGAGTCCCCTTGGATGAGCCTTAAAATTACTTGGTTACTTCAGGAGTAACAAAAATGCAAATGACAGGAGCTCTGTTTGGGTGAAAGCACAAAAATCTGTCTTTAAATGCCAAAAAAAATGCAAGATCACTAGCACTGCCAATGACCGCTACCACCAGTTCATTTCAAATACTGCGCAGAATTAAAAACCAAACCTCTAAAGACAGACAAAAGGATTTGAGCTATATGGGGAACATTTTGCAAACTTTTGCTATGCACAGCTTGATCTGAAATTGCAGACTAACAAAAAAATGCAATTCAAAGGAAATACTTCAGAATAGATTCCCTGATAACAGGCAAGGTTGTATTTCAATACTGACTATATATTTTTCTTGAGAAACATAAAGATCATTCTGACAAATACAAAATTACGATTTTTTTTATCACAATTTTATGGAGGATTGCCTGATTTTAGTAAGCTACAGCCCTGTACTCTATCATAATCATTATGACAGTTTTACAATGAAGATGAAGTTTATTTGCCACCAACATTAGCAGGACAAATTTATTTATAACAAATGCTTTAAAATGTACTGATAAAAACACCTATTGATACTGTCAGAGCTTCTTGCAATTTGACAGATCAAATCTTATTTTCATTCTTAAACCCCATGAAGGAATGGTATCACCAACCTGCATTCTGTAGTCAGCAAATTGATTAATCCCCCTCTATAGAAATCTCAACTCTTGATTACACCTATCAGACGTTAAGCAGCATTATTCTAGAGTGACAACACTTGACAAATTCCCAAACCATTTTTCTCAGCCTTTGTGGCCCTGCTAGCTTGTATTAACCCTGATGAAAAATTAATTTTCCTTATCTTCCGCTAAACCCCAAAATCCAAATCCGCCAAACTGGCGACTCTTTCTGTAAAGGTATTATGAAAACCTCTAAAAGATTAATTGCATGTCTTCAGGTGACATTAAATTAATTTCTGCACTCGTGACAGACATTTGATACTCGGCCCTGAGCGCGCAGATAACATTGTCAGGACACGCGGAGGGACAGGGGCGCAGGGGCCCGGGGCGGCCTCGCAGGAATTCGCCTGCGATAAGGCCACATTTCACTGTCACGGCCACTGTGAGGGATCTCGCGGCCCGCAGACCTCGCTGCGCAGGTTTCTATCAGCCACCACAATGCTCTGTCTATCTGTGCAATCTCTGTACGGCCGATTCAAAAAAATATATATCACCCAATAGTAAGAGGATGTGCGTGCCGGATAAAGCACTTAAAGGGAAAAAATATCTGGTTGATTTGGCTAAAAAATAACAAGGGGAAAGAAATGCTTTAGTGGGTCCACCTTATTTTCATCTGTGTTTAGATGTGTTGTAATTCAAACGCTCTACTGAAAGATGAAGGGTTAAATCTTGCGGGAAAATCGCAATCCCAAGCTTCCTGTAATTGATTTCCTTTAAGGAACAAGAAGTATTTCACATCTACAGTTACAGCTACCAGTTACAGTCAATATTTGGGTCAGAATTGAGTATCTCCAAAGTATCACAGTAGTTAAGAGGAGACAAAAAAAAGCAAAACCCAAACACCCATTAGGCTACTAAACTCATATTCACTTCAAGGGCAAAAGCTAATTATTGTATCCACTCCTTGGCTATACGGATTTTAGTATGTAATTTTTTCTAGTGGTGCTGCAATTGATTGCAATAAAATGAGAC